TGCTTGAATGATCCGTCAGTCTAGCTCAGTGTTGCTCCAGCCGGCTGCAGCTTTCCAGTGGCTCAAGGCCGAAAAGGTTCTTTCTGGCTACCTGACATTCTAGCTTCAACCTCAAGCATTTCTGAGGATGAGAATAGTTCAGCCAGGTAATTTTTATGTGCACTCAGTTGAAATTTCAATCTGGAACACTTTTTTCCCCCCAGCTGAAAAATTTTGGAGAGAGGCTTGGTAGGTCTGTTTCCCCCCCCTCATGTTTTCACTGTCATCTCTCCCTGTGAACCCCCTGAGAGTGGCTCTCTGTGGCTGGAGGGTGCCATTTAGAGAGGGGGGAGTGACTTCTGTGGGGTAAAAAAAATAGAAATAAGAGAGCAGAAGTTCTTGGCAGCTGAGGGGATTACGAACGCTGCCCCAGTAAGTGGGAAAGGGACTTTGCCCCTGCTTCTGGCTTCACCTTTGCTTGCCAAAACAGCCATTCTAGCTATATTGCTGCCTGCAAGCTGGCTTAAGTGGAGGATGCCATTTTAGTTGGGTGCTAAGTTTTATTGGATGCAAAACCACAGTGCATAGCCGATTTAAAAGCAGGTCTCGGTGTATTCTGCTTTCTCCCACTAATTAAAATTCTGGGTCCAGATGATCAATATTGTGTGACCTGTATACATTATGAGCACTTGCACCCTTCTTCTTTGTTTCCATTAATTTTTATTCTCAAGACATCATTTTAAATACTTTTTGATCTTGACAGTCATGGAGAAGGGCTCTGCAGGGCACTAAGCTGCCCCCCCCCCGCCAAGCACTGGACTTTTGATGCAAATCACACACACACACCCGGCTTCATCAGGCTTTGCTCACACACTTCTAAACATTTCTGCCATATGGACTAGAAACTTATTTAAAGTGAAATCTGAGATTCTCTGAATGCTGGATTTTGCACACTGATCCACATTCTTTCTGTATTCCCGTACTCCTGTAGAATTATGGTGTACACATGGGCTAGATTAAAGGACAAAAAAAATTAGGCTGGTAGAAAATAAGTGAACGTTTCACAGTTAAGAGGGCTTTGTGTACTCTTGCTCCCCCCCCCCAATTGGAAAAATCCAGAATCTGAAACAAGAGAAGTTGATTCCTCTGAGTTGTATAAATAGAAACATAACTTGCATATATTTGCTGATA